ATTTTTTTGAAAAACTGATCAAACTATCTGTAAGGGTAATGTATTTGAAATTCTCACAGCAATTCCCAGGCAAAGCACTGGTAAAATCAACAAACATGTAAAGTGAAAACCTGTACAGACCCTGTAAATAAAACTGAAACTTTAATCAGCCCCACAGGTTTTTGGACTACCTATGCTTCCAATACCAAGTCATCCAGATGTATGAGTGCAACAGTCTTTGACGTTAGAAAAAACATGCACGTGATTAGCATTAACATTGAAAAACAAATCTGAAATAATATTGGATATTCGGACTCTTGAGTATATTTGTAATCGAACGAAGATGAAAAAAGTAAGGATCTTTCTTTTGCTCTCATAGTAATTCTCAGCCGAAATTCAGGACTACCCTCATTAAGATCGATAATATTGTGTAGTAAAAAAAACATGTACAAAACCTATGGGGAAAACTTTAATCTTGTGTCACGTGACCCTTGATGATGTTATTTTGACAATTTTTCTTTGGGAGCCTCTCTTCGTGAGGGACTTCAAGTGTACATTGAAGGAAATAATTCAGATTTACCAAAATGCCAAGGACAGGCTGTTAAAAAACGTGTACAAAACCCATGGGTGAAGATTAAATATCCAAAAATCAATTAAAAAATTTGTGATGACGTCATCATAACGTCATATATTTAGCAAAATTCTTTCATCAGGGTCTTTGTTGTCCGTAACTTTGAGGTTGAGCAAACCTTTCAAACTAACCCAAATGCTGACTTGAAAACGTGTACAAAGTCAATGAGCTTAAATAAATATTGAAAAATCAATAGTAAATCACATAATGACGTCATCATGATGTCATTTACTTACAATAAAATTTTGTATCAGGGTCTTTATTGGCTGTCACTTTGATAATGATCAAACGTCCCAAAGGTTTAAAAATTGTGCCTTGAAAACGTGTACAAAGTCAATGGGCTATAAACTCGTTTGCAGAAACACTGCTCCTTTAAGTTGAAGTCACGTGATTTCCGCTTAAACTGAACAATTTTTATGAAATATTATTTCATATTCGGACTCTTAGGCATATTTAAAATCAAATAACAGAGCGTAAAGTACCTGATTTCTCTCTCGTTCTTATAGTAATCTTGAGCCAAAGTTAAAGACTACTCGCTCACTCGTGTTAAGTAGAAAAACGTGTACAAAACCTATGGGGAAAAATTAAATATTCAAAAACTAATATAAAATAAGGTGATGATGTCATCATGATGTCATCCCTTTGCAATAAATCTTGCATCAGGGTCTTTGTTGGCTATCACTTTTGGAATGATCAAACATTGCAAAGTCACCAAATTTGTGGCTCGAAAACGTGTACAAAGTCAATGGGCTAGAAACATGTATGCAGGAAAACTGCTCCTTTAATTTCATGATACGCGATTTTTGTCTTAACTGGAAAAAACTTATGAAATACTATTTGATATTTGGACTCCCGGGTTATTTGCAATCGAACGAAAGGGAAAATTTAGTTTGATTTCTCTTTCGTTTTGGTAGTAATTCTCGGTCGAAGTTGAGGACTGCTCACGCATTATGCTGGACAATTGTGTACAAACCCTATGTTGAGCAACAACGCCATCTATGGTTCAATGTAGGACAGTTTGTTGACAATTAAAACCCCAGGCAGGTGTAACCATAATTCTGCAATAGCGCCCTCATAGCCTGATAGAGGACAGTCCGAAAACTGTGTGCAATCTGTGTACAAAGTCTATGGGAAAAGTAATTATTCAAAAATCAATAAATAAACTAATTAAGTTATTACTGTGAATTTCTTCTAGGACCATCCTTGGATGATTGTCCAAAGGTCTGCCGAGTTTGAAGTCGATCAGATTTAGCAAACTGCCAAAGTCGACTGGTGGAAGGAATTGGTCTGAAAAAGAACAACTCGATAGAAGTGTTTGTAAACAAGTACAAACACAGAGCTGTTTCGGGACTGTTTCACCAACAACATAAGTATTGGCAATTGTGACGAAAAAACCTGGCATTAAGAAACTATGAAAGAGTAAAAATGTACAATTTTATATTCTGGACGTGACATATACACTGAAAAAGTTTAATTTATAATTTCAACTAATGCAATTGGATGTCCACTAAGATAATCTAATATGACTTGTTACATGATATTAACCATGGGAGGCCACGGTTGATTTTATATGGATTTTTTATATATTTAACGGAATTTTAAAAATTTAATAATAAATCACGTGATGACGTCATCATGACGTAAATATTTTAGAATTATCTTCGTTGTAAAGTTAGTGCTTGCTGTAAGTTTGAAGACAATCAACAATTACTAAGGTATGAATTATTCTCCAACTCTATGTGCACAAT